TCCTGCGAACATCTTCGCTTAAGATCAAGTCACGGATGTTATCAAGCTTCAACTTGTTATTGCTTGCAGAATTACTAATAGACAACCCCCTCTAAAACACCAGTTGTGGTTGAAAATAATAAAATAGAAAAAAGTCAAAAGTCCTCTACATTATCCTTAGACGACTTTGCCCCATCATATTCGAAAACCATGACCACTCGAAAACTTCCTACCTCAATAACCACTCAACCTAATAGATTTACCCCCCTAACACCACAAATTCCTCAACATTCTCCACCTGAAAAAAACCCCTAAAAAAGAATTTCATATAAAAGAAGGATGTCAGAAGATTATTACTTTAGAAGAAGACTGAAATCCCGAAGGTGTTTACGGAATACTCAGAAAACTAGCTCCTCTAGGATGAAGTTGGATCCCTAAGTCAGAAAATTTGAAAAAGACCAAAAAAATTTACCAATTTATCTTGATAGATACATGATCTGCAGAAATAACCCTCGTTCCTAATGATAGAGATCCCTCGATAATTAGTTATTCAAAATTACGAATTATCGAAATCATTTCATATCAAGAATGGAACCAACACCCTTTCACAGATAAGAGATTTTCGAGACCCTTTGACCCCCTTTATATAATTATTTCGATTACCAAGAAGCTTGTAATAAGATACTATTTGATACCAACCCTAGGCATTCATGGTATATATGTTTTAAAAAAGAAGTACCCAATATCTTACTAAATTGGTTTGTTGAATTGTTTCATCAAATATGTCATGTCCAATCCATAATCCCAGAAAAAATCATGAAAATGTACCAAAAATATAAAAGCCTTACTCCCCAATACCCTCCACACCTTCGAATTATAAAATTTTGTTCAACCATGGGAATAAGCTGGTTTTTGGCCCACATTCCTGAAATCCATCAACACAAAGAAGAAATCTATCCTAAAACTCTTTGCTTAAAAATCAAAGTTTTTTGGTGGAAAAATTTTGAAACCCAATATGTAGAAGACAAATTTGAAAATTGGAAGAAAATAGGCCTTATCACACAAAAAAGCCAAATCCAAAGAGAAATATCATCTATAAAAGAAAAAGGAAAAGCCATTATAGACTTATCGAAACTCACTTCATCAAAAGTCGAAAAAGCCCAATTAAAACAGAAAATGATTGAAGCATTATCCTCACTGTGCTCTAATGAAGAAGAAGAAGAAACTGAAGCCATTATCAACCTACAAGATTCTCAGGATCCGTAAAAACATTGATTTTGATCAATTTTAGCAATCAATTCCAGCAGAATTAACGAAGATGATTAATAATATCATGAAAGGAAGATCAACCAAAGAAGAGTTACAAAGAAAAGTTCATCAAATTATGAGAAAATTAGAAGAAGAAGACCTTCAAGAATTCCCCTTCTAAGAGATAGCATCTTAGTAAGAAGCTGGACTTAGTTGACCCATCGCCCAATAGATGCTATGGTCCCACCCCTCAGAATAGAATCAGCTGGTTCTTCACGCAAAGATGATTAGGGCCCACACAGTTGAAAAATCAAGCCCTTGTAATTATGCTATTTTGTTTTTTAGCGTCGGCCGCCGAAAGTAAATGCGTGTCAATTGTAATTATGTTATTTGTTGGTCACTTTTGACTATAGTGTGTCAGTTGTAATATTGAATAGGAGAACCTTTAGGCCTATAAAAGAATCAATTGTTGAAGTATCAATTACAGCTCTCTTCGAGCCTTAAACTCTATCTTCCTCAGCCAACTCTCTCATAGCCTAAGTTCCCAACCTTCCTTATCCCTGAATAGTTTCAAAAATTGTAAGATCTCTTAAGAATTTTGTAATAACCATTCTATAACAAAAATTTTGTATTTCTTCCTTCTATTATGCTTTTATATCTTCCGCTTTTATTTATATATAAACCACATATGTATTTTCATTAGTAATAATAATAATTTTGAGTTTATGGGATTAATCGAAAAAATTAGATTTATGGATGCGTGTTTGAGTTTTCTTTTAATAAGTTGAGACAGGACGTGCAGACGACCAATGTAATCTTGTATTTATTCTGTTTTTATATTTAGATTTAAATTTTAAAATATTTTATTTTTCTTTTGTATAAGTGATTTTTTTTATATTTCATATTCTGTATTTGTTTTTATGTTATTTATACCAATCAATTCAATATATTATTTCTTTTTTCTCATTTTTTTCATTCATATTTTCTTAATCTTTTCAATTTAATTTTTTTAATCTCTTCAACCTTTATATTTCTATAATTTATTCAATTCAATTCGATTTTTTTAATTTCTTTAACTAATTAGATACATATAATTCTTTTATCTTGCTTTAAATATTTTAGTATTATTAATATTTAGTATTATTTATCTTTATTAATTTATATATTATTTATATATTTTATTATTTTTATTTATCATCTATCAAATTTTATCTTAATAAAATAATTTTATTTAAAAAATAAAAAAAATTATTACTTTATACTAATTAAATAAAAAATAATTCATTAAATATTTTGGTGGTTTGATTTCTTTTCTTTATTATCTGCAGCCTTACTATTATAGTTGCTTTTTAATAATTTTACTTATCAATCTATTTTCATAGACGGTTGCTTTTTTTTTAGTGATTTTCTGATGTAAATGTTAAATTTTTCTTGCCAATTGATTTAAAGTCATATCCTGTACCTTTGCTTCTTACCTGCTTCTGCTTTTACATTCTACCCTTCAACTTAGTTTTTGTCAATGCTCAGAAATCTAATTGTGCATTACATAGTTTTCTTTCATTGATTTACTCATGCCTTTTACATTTTGTAATAATGAACAATTCACAGCATGTTTTGTTCATATTCTAACTAACACAAACGACACAAATTTGGATTCCGAAAGTATTTCACACTCTCTTGTGGCATTTATAGTTTATAATTCCTTTTTTCTCAACTCCCACTGACGTGGAACAACATCTAATAGAAACAAACCATTAATCTGTTTGTTAATTTTAGTACATTCATTAATAGAAGAGAATGTCTCTTATCTGTATTGTTTTTGTTTAATATCAATCTCTGTTTTGTTTTGATTTTGTTTTGCTAGTGTTTTCTTGTGTTATAGTTTTGTTAAAACAAAGCCATATTAAATCTGGTATAAAAAAAAAATGTGGACTTATATTATACACCATACACTACTTATCTTTCTATCACCTACACCTGTAAATGTAGAATTAGAAATTTCAAGCAACTGAAAAATCTACATGCTATATGATCCATTCAAAAGTACAGAATAATGGAAATTTTTTTCTTTTATTTGAATTATTAGAGGAGTTGCATGTCAGTGTTACTTTTTACAAATATTTATTTATTTCTACTTGTCTGTTTCCCTACGGGTGTACCTAAGTTTCTTCATTAATACCTTTTGAACTCATTTTTATTTCCAGTACAAAAAATAAATGGCTTGATTTAGGAAGAAATTAACAAGTTTTGTTTTATGTCGGATGAAAGATGTCATTTTAGTGTCAACTGAAAAAAAAATTTATAAGTAATTAAAACTGAGATTTACAAACTTAAATGTTGACATAAAACAAAACTTTGAAAATAGTTAACCGAGAGAGAATACAATATAAATGCTGTTAAGTTAAAAATAAAGATTAACTTTACAAAATAAAAGCATAGCTTAGGCTTGTTACTTCAAAAAAAACTTGGACATTCCTTAAAATAAAATTGAACATTCTACAAATACATAATCTATATTATACAAAAATTATACTTGGTAAATTTAAGCTACATGTTCATTCTGAAGAAAAGAAGGTAACAGACTTCAAATTTTCTCTTTTTTCTCACACTTTTTCTCGATCAGAAGAAGAGGTTCACCATAATGGGAACCTAGAGCGTCTTCTGTTCAAGATAAGGAATAAAACTAAATCTTATATGATGAGTCCGAGGATATGAGGAGATCCCAAAGAAAAATATAGTCCTCCAATAGTCCTATGATGTTACAACAAGGTCTCGAAATTATATTTTTAGGGGTTTAGAGTGTGTAGTAGAAGGAAAGAATCTAGAACATATAACAAAAAAACAGGAAGAATCCTAATTCATCAACGTCATGTGAAAATGACATTAAGAAACGAAGATAAAAACAGCATGAATAATGACTCCTTATGTTGCCAGACACGTTGAGCCCATTCATTGATTCTATGGTTTGTAGTTGAGCACTAAGTCCAAGTGACACTTATCACTATGTTTATGACCTTTTCATTTTATAATGCAGTGATGATACCCATATTTTAAATTCCTGCACAATTGTTTATTTGTTGGAAAACCCCACGTATTAGCCGAATGGGAATAGGTCCTAAAATTCACTGTATGAGATTCTAATCCTGTCATATTTTTTATTAGCATATGATATGTTTTTACTATAAAATGAACTTTTTAAAAGAATAAGCATGAGTTGATCATGTCAAGTTTTTCATTCATTGGAAACGTAATGTTATGCAAAGGGGATGCATCAAGCTGGCTTGGAAACAAGCACATGCTATCACACACTTTTATGTAACCTACACAAGCAAAGGAAAGAGCATGGAAACAATGATAATTTATTAAATTTGGAGGCAACCCTATTCTAATAATATTTAGCTAAACATTCATATATGCACTTCAGTGAATCCAACAATTTGACAAGTTTACATGCAACCCCAACACATATTTATTGTTATGGAAATGGGGTAATCAATACAGGAGTTCATGCTTCAGTTCTTCTAACACTGTGCTTTTGACTTTTTAACCGGTTAAAAATTTTGAAACTTCAAATACGTATGAACACTACTACCAATCTGGGAACCTTTACCCAGATAAGCAACAGGTGCTGGAATTTTTGTTGTTCCTGGAAAAGGATGAATAAAAACACAACACAAAAGTCATGGATCATGATATACATATTATGACACAACATTATATAAGAGAATAATAACAGCACTTACTGTCTCTGCTGAGCTAGCAGTTTCAATAAATTATGCTCCAAAGTACTGTATCATTTCATCATCACCCAAGAAATCATCTAAATGGAACGGACTGTTAAGTCCTCCAAATTCTAATGACATGCTACTAAGCGGTGATCCAAAGAAAGAGTGATCAATATATTGCAAATCTCCAGTAATGTCATCCCCTTTCATATGTACTGCATCAATATCTGGCCTTGCTTCATTGTTGTTCCGAGAATGTAGCTGTGGCCCATCCTGACCAGGTTCATATCCTGCTGCTGGATTATAAAGATTGTAAGTGGTTTCATGATGCATGTCAGGGTTTTGCAACTCAGGATAGTCTATTGGCCTCCCACTCGTATACATTGATCCTGAGGAAATTAAGTTGTTTGTATGTAAATAAGAGTAATGATCAAAATCAGGTGCTGGTAGTTGCGCAGGCACCTCAAGTCCCTTTTCCAGTGGCCTTGCGGCAGAATCAGTCTCATTGGATTGTTCATTTCCATGAATCTGGACTCGATCTACTTGTGGTTGTGTCTGGTTAATATTGAGTCCTTTGCTTCTTGGCTCACTATGTAAAATTTCATTGTCAGATTGTGCTGGTGGTTTGTCGACAGCCCTTGAATTCAGACGGGGTTTTTTTGGCCTGGGTTGCCTCTTAGATTGATCTGTACCTTGGAAAGATTTCCTAACCCTGTGCAAGTTATCTGATGGTTCAGTATCCATATTCTGAATTCTCCTATCTTCTTTAGAAGAAACAGAACCAATGCCATCATCAGTACCATCAACATCATAGTTGCTGGCACTACTAGTAGCTGCTTGCTTATTCTCAGCAGGGACACCAGGTAGCATTCCAGTTATTCCAGATGTACCGTTGTCACTACTAGGCTGCCTAATGAGAGCTTCTTCTCGACTTAATACCCCCAACCAAATTGCACTTTCCTTTGCTGTCATCTTGTCCTGCAAGCATTTTGACTGGCGGACATGCCTCCTTATCTTGGCGATATTAGGCGACATGTGCTTTATAACAGCAGTAAGCACTCCCACTTTCCACATCTTCTTCAAATCATGCGGCTTCTTATAAGGTGGACTCTGACCATGAGGTAAATTCAACTGTGACCACCAATCTTCATTACCAGTTGGCCACCAAGGTGGGGGTATGCCCTTTTCCAATGGATACTTCCTCTGAGGTGGATCACAATGCTGCATCAAAGAAGATAAGAGTGATCCAAGAGTTGCATCTTGCAGGTCTTGGAGAATGCTCTGCGAGTTACCATTTCGGCTATTATCTGCCTCACTCATAGCAAGACACTCAGCTTCATACTTGGCTATAGCTGCAGGGCCATTCTTATCAAACTTTACCTTCTCCTTCCACCAAGCTCTAATGTTGTCAGAGGAACCACTAACTGGCTTTCCCTTCTCAGGAATGATCCCATACACAAATCCACGAGCTTTGCAGACTTCCATAAGCTTTAGCATATACTTCAGAATCCCATCCTGTGCTCTGGACATTTTCTTCCTACGAGCTTGATCACTAGACTGCCTTGGCTTTTGCTTCTCTGCAGCTTGCAGAATTGCCAGCTTCTGTTTTTCCTTTAGCCTTTTGAGTTTGATCCGATCCTTCCACATCCGCCGCTCCAATTCTTCTGTTTCAATCTCTTCATCACTGACATCTTTCTCCGCTATATTGGGGCATCTAATATCATCAACTTCTAAATCCGAACTGCAGTTCAACGCATCACCATTAATCAGAAGATTAAAAACAACCTCTTGATTGGTTAAAAGGGTACAAATTTGAACAGGAGATTAGGCTAACTTTTCACCACTACTCACCAGAGACTTAAAACTGAACTTTAATATCCTATATTACCACTGGAACATTCAAAGCAAAAAAAAAAAAAAAAAAAAAAAGTAACCTTCTCTAGTGTTTGTACCAAGATTGACCAATTATTAATTAATAATCACTAATCAAAATCTCGTCCTCGTTTCTTCTCCCTCAGAAACCAGACATTACTTCCATTATAACAAAACATTATAGTGCTCAATGATATCCCACACTTTCCAAGAGACAGATTCTTCAGTAAAATCAATGTACAGTAGCCAACAACTTGACACCCCATATCTGATTGAAAACCCACAAACAGTATAAATTTCCATTTCAACAGGATGAATCCCAAAATCCAATACAAATTCAAGGAGCAAGGGTATTAAAAAATATATATACATAGCATTCCACAAATTATAAACCAACCAAAAAAAATCCGGGAAGACCAAAAATTCACGAAACTTTATCACAGAAGAACATGCAACTAAATTGAAGTTCTGGGAATAAGAAGCATGGTAGACACACCAGACATCAGGCCCAATTTCTTCGATTTCGGCCATCTATTTGCAGGAAGATTTGAACTTTCCGATTCGTTTCGTTGTGGGTACCCTGATTCTTCTCTAATTATTATTGGCTAATTGAGCGCAGATGTTAAGAACAAAAAGGATTTAGCTTTTGCGACCCAAAATTGGTTGGAGATTGGATGGTGAGGTGAGCCTGAAGATTTTGGGGTTAGACTGAAAGGAGAGGAAAGAGAAAGAGAGAGATGAGAGAGAAAGAGAGAGGTAGAAGACAATTTTAATTGAAAGTGTGTCATTCAATGTCCAGATTCTCTGCGTTAGGCCTATTTTATGTCCTGTGCACCTCACTCCTCCATGAGTCAAACTTTTTTATTCCTTTTCTTTCACTTTCGCAGAATCCTAGCCCTCAATTTTATGACTTTTTAAAAAAAATAAAAAATCATATGAATTGATACCTTTATTTAAGTTGAAAATATTTATATCTTTTATACGAAATGAATAATGTTTTTAAATTTTTTTAAGGTACAAGATTCAATTTATGCCTTTATCTGTAAACTATAGGAATTATCATGAGAAACAATGATACTGTTATTAATTATGGTTTTAATTTTTTTAAATAGTTTAATTCTTTTAATTTATTTCTCTTTAGTCTATCATTAGTAGTATCTTAAGTTATAATTCATATATTAAAAATATTAATTACTTATCTATTTTTTATAACTTTACAAAATTTATCTATTATTAATTTTTTTCTATTTTAATCCTTATATATTTTATAGTATTTATTATACTTAGTAGAGATTACAAAATTGGTCAGATCCGACAAGTTAGTCGGTTATATTATGTGGGATGTGGGATAGATTGGTGTTTCCAACTTGCCAATTCATTATGGTTCATCCCACCAAACCGGCCAACTTGTCGGTTTAATCTACGGTTTGTCTAATTAATAAAAAAATCATTTTTGTATTATCATATAGTTAATATAAAATTAAAAATTTTAAAAAAAGAATTAGAAAGGTCGCACTCTCACTCGTTATAAGAAATATTTCTTTTACTCAAACACAAATTTGTCTCTTCTCTTCTCTTATTGTTTATCATCTCTTTCTTTCTTGTTCATTATAAGTATTAATTATTTTTATTCTTATTATTTGAATTAAAGAGGTAGAAATTATTTAAGGGAAGAACCATGTGAAGTTTTATCAAATAAAAAAAATATAAATATTTAAAATTTTCAATATAAAAAATATAAATTTTATAAATTATGAAATTATTATTTGTTATTATTTATTATTATATAAATTTTATTATTGTTTTAAACCATAATTTAAAAATAATGTGTTGATTTATATTATTAACTTTAAATATATATATTGAATTATTGATAAATAAATAATAATATTATTATTAAATTTATTAAAAATTTTGATTTAAAAAAAAATTTTTTTTTCTTAAATTATGATCGAATCAGTCCACTAAATCAAGATCTATAACATGATTATAGTGGGTTAGTTCGTCTTTTTCCCATTTTTTTAACCAAAATCAGAATAGGTTGACCTTATCGTCTCTAATATTTATAAAGACTTTTCAAATATAAAAATCAAATAAATAATTAAGCCTATTTATAATATTAATTTATTATAATTTCAATTATATTAAATAAATATTTATTTTCTCCTGTTGTACTAAATTAGAAATTAGGAAAATAGCAGATTAATATCAGTTTTCTCTTATGATTATTTTCAAGAACTTGTAATATGTGTAGAATTTAAGATACATGAATGTCATCACCTACCAGCACAAGTTCTATTAAAATAATCAAATTCACCTTTCACAGTTTCGTCCAATTAGATTTATTTTGAAAATTTCAGACTTTAAAATAATGATTTTCAACTATGAACCATGATAAATTAGAATTAATGTAATGAATAATATATTTTAAAAGAAAAATTATTTAAATAAATTTTTTATTAATTTATTTATTCAAAATAGATATGTGATGGTGTTGATATGTAGTTTTTTTTTAATAATTTTTTTATCTTGTTTTTTTCTTTCCTATTATATATTGAATGAATTTTATAAATAATATATTTTAAAAAATTATTTACATAAAACCTTTATCAATTTATTTATTAAGTATACTTATTTACTGTTTATATATGCAGTTTTTCTTTTTTATTCTTATTATTTTTTCAATTTTTTTTCTTTCCTCATTTATTCCTTATTTCTTTTTTTTTTAATATTATATCTCTTATTTTTCTCTCTCTTTCTTGTTTTTCTAATTAAACTATTATATTAAAATTTAATAAAAACATGTTAAAAAATAAATATTTTAAAATCAACACTAAAACTAAAAATATATTAACTAATTATTTAAAATTATGATGACAATAAATAATTTTATTTTTTTATTTTAGTAATAAATAAATATTTTAAAATTATTTTAATATAATAAATAATTATTCACCTAATTAAAAAATATCAAATATTTATAAGTTAAATATGTTTTTTATTTAATAATTTAATTTAGTTATAATTATACTAAATTATAATAATTAGTTAGATTAGGTAATTTTAAAAAATATTTATTAAAAAATTAATATAGTTAATTTTTTTCTTGATAATTATAATATAACAATAATATTTGTGATATTTTAAATTTATTATATAATATTTTTAAATATAATATATTAAATTATAGTATTTTAGGATCATTTAAATATTTTTATTTTTTTAATAATAAAATATGTATTTTATCAAATTTTAAATTATTATTTTTAATTGAAGAATAAGATGGAATAAGTGAAAAATAAAAGAGGAGAAAATAAAATAAAATAAAATAAATAAACACTCAACACAAAAAAAAAATAAAGAGAGAGAAAAATAAAAAAGTTAAAAAAAAGGAGAAAAATGACTATATTATATTAGATTAATTTATTTATTTATATTAAATTTTATGTATAAATAATAAAACGATATAATGATGTAAATAAATTTAGAAAAGTTTTATTTAAATAATATTTTTTAAAATATATTATATATAGAATTAATTCTAATAGACTAAATAATAGTGTAGCATTTTAAAAATAAATCAGAAAAAGACGAATAATATAAATATTAATAAATTTAGATGAAAATGAAATATTATCATTAAACCATGAAAAATGTACAATCATTTATATTTATTTGAATCTACATCTATCAATTTAAACAACTTAGTTGTTAGTTTAAATTCTTTTTTTTTGAGTATTTATTATGATAAAGGTTATGTGACAAGTAATTTATTACTAACAAGTAATTTATTACTAAACAAAAACATTCACTTAAAATGACTTTTTGTGTTATTGGAACTTTTCTTTAACATTAGCATGGGTCATCTATATCTCACATCATTCCAAGTTTGAAGATAATTAGTACCTTGATCTAACCTGAATAATAATGATGGGATTAACACACTAATACACTATATAGTAAATGAAAACCAACATCATATAATTATTTATATGTAGTTAATTATCTTGACCTAACTATTTCTCCTTTCATGGCTAAAGACAAGGCAGAGAGATTGGCTTCATTCTCCACATGCACACCAGGCATGATCACAGCTCTACTCCCCACAAACCCATCTTCACCAATTTTGATTCCACCAAACTTCACCATTCCACCTTCATCACCTTCATATATGTGGCCAAATAGCAATGCTTCTCTTCCCACACAACCCCCTCTCTCGATCTTCACCATTTCGGGGTTCAACAAAGCCCCCATGCTGTCCACATAAACATCACCATCCATGGCTATCTCTGCACCCATCAATCTCATCCACATCACAAACAAAAACGACCCAGTTGCCATGTCCATGAAGTAGTCCCCCACCAACGTTCTAATCGCTTGCCATGTGCTATCCATGATGACCCTTTTGCTCCACAAGGGTATTGTTTCACCCTCTCTCTTCCTTCCCACGAGAACCCATTTGGCCACAACAACTGCCAGTGCCCCCATTACACCTGAGAGAATCCAAAACAAAGGAAGCAACCATTGCACTGAGAGCTTCTCAACTCTCTTCATGTTCACAACAAAGTTTAAAGGGGCAAAAACAGATAAACCTACCACCGTGTAAGGCAAAACAGTTTGTAGCAACGGTTGAATGAAAACCGCCAAGAATGTCTGGTACCAGGTTCTTGTCAAGGTTAAGGTTGTCACTTTTTTTGTAGCCTTGGTGGGCTTTGATGTTGCTACTGATGCTGCGATGGGACAACAAGACAAGTCTACCTTAACGTTAGATTGTTCTACTAGGTTTCTCCAAGAGTCTGGGAGTGGCTGTCTATTGCGCACGTGCTGGCAAATCTCGTAGATCAATGAACGGCCATGATCGATTGAAGCACTTTGGGTGTTGGAAGTGGCAGGGATCACATCCAACTCATGGATTTTGAGATAGGGGTTAAATACAAGGCTATCAGATTCTTCCTTAGAGAGATTCTCAGTGATGTTTATCTCTCCAACATCAATGTAAGGGAATTCACTTTCGTTCCATGGTTTTGTGCAGTCCAGTGCAATGTCACGTGTGGCTTCATCTTCAGGCACTGCTCGAAGTTGCACTTGGAAGACATAGCGAATTCCATCAGGGGAACTCACGCGCCTTTGAAAATCTTCAGCTAGGAAAAGTAAGGGTCGTGTATCATTTTCATCCCTTGGAATTGCACCTGTTTCCGGTGGAAGAATCCCAGTTGGTTCAACCTTACCTATGTCCTCACTAATGCTTGTGTCAATAGGCCTTAGTTTAAATTTCACGTACATTTCTTGTCCATCAGTGAAGCGCATGAGCCTGCAAATGTTTGAGTAGTAGTGCAATTCAGCATATGAGTGAGCATGTCTAAGGGAATTCCACACTGCTTCACGAATATGTGGGGTACGCTTAACAAGTTCCTCTCTCGCAGCAAGTCCACACACAAGCCAGCTTGCAAAATCAGCAAGAGTGCGAGCATAAAATGCATTTCCAGTTTTTAGTGTCAGGTCAATGAAGGGAACATAGTTAGAATCGGGTGCATCAGAAAGAATCCTCAAAGATGCACCACGTGCATCGATCCGAGCATCATCGTCAGCACTCAAGCTATTGCTGTGTCTTATCATGACAGGGTAGCTTTTACCAGGTTGGAAAACCTTGTGCAGTGGAATGCCCTCAAGTTTGTCATAGATTTTCAAGTGCCCCTTTCCACTAACACCGATGCGGTGGAAGTATCTTGCTTTGACATTGATAGTTGTTACAGCTAAATTTGCAGCCATGTTAGCAACTACTTTCTTGTATTCCGTGTCCATCTCCTCTATCCTTTCATCTAAAGAATTTGAAGAGTTCTTGTGTGCAACACGGGTTTGAGATCCAATATACACGCTACCCTCATGGAGTATAGAATTCATTGGAGCAACTGAAAGTGCACCTAGAATGACATTCTTTTCTACAACAGAACCTGGGAGGATTATGCTTTGACTCCCAACAATTGAATTATCCTGAACCTCTATTTTTCCACAAGCATATCCGTTTGAATAGTGGAAACCAGTGATTATCTTGCTAAAATCACCAAGATGGACTCCATCACCTATTGACATTAACTCAGGGTTTGAAACAGGGTTGATGGCTCTAATAGAACAGTGCTTGCCAATTTTTGCACCCAAAAGGCGTAAATATATGCAGAAGGCTTCTGTTCCTGAGAGAAGCTTGGCAAATCTTTGGTGGCAGGAAATGGTCAATCGATGTCTAAGCCAGGTTTTAAAATGGGTTTGGGTTTTACTGAATTTGAGCAAATGGGTCAAGGCACAGGTGAGAGAGGTGAGCATGAGGCCATGAAGCAAGTACGCGCAGGTAAATGAAATGGTAAAGACAATGGGATTTGATGGGACATCAGAAAACATGGTGGCATATGCAACAATGGTAAATGGGATCCAATGGAATGCGCCACATATGCAAAGAAATGAAAAGTGTTGGAATGATGCAGGTATCTGGAAGAACCATATGTATAGGATGTAAACAATAGCTGCAGCAAAGGAGCTGAGAAAGCCAGTAACATAGATCCCCAGGAAATGGTACATGGCATTAGACTGAGTTTTGCTGGTTGTAACAAGCAACACTGCATTCTGAAAAAAAAAAAAAAAAGACATTAGTCAGTTAAAGCTCAAAGTGGTAAAGTCCACTAGTTTAAATATGTGAGCTATCAAATTATATGAAATGACGAAGTTTTGACCAATAAAGAATGATAATGCTTTCATAAGTATTAGAACTGTAGCAATAGTGCAAAGTGTAAACTAAAATTCACATGAATCACATTACCCTCAAAATAAATTTCAGTCATTTCAGAAATTTGCCTATACTGACCTCCTTAACGTTATTAAGCTTGGCAGGTTTGGGCACATGTTGGCATTCTTCAACCTTTTGCAGGGGTTGTACTTCAGATCCTTCTTTGATAACACTTCCTTTTTGAATAATAGAATAAGGCCCGATTGAAGAATTTTTACCTATCCTAATAGGGAGGAAACTTAGAATTCCATTCCTCACCTCATGACTTTGAATCAAAACCCCTTCTGCCATGGCAACTTCATCTCCAATAGAAACCAGAGACGGGTCTGTGATATCAACTGTGTCCAGCAAAACTAAGGATCCAATTCTAGCACCAAGCATCTCAAACCAGTATTTCAGAAACACTGTTCCTCTGAGGTGTGTTGCCAAAACTTTTGAAGAAATTTCCTGAGTTTTATAGAGCGCCCACCACTTGACAAAATCCATTGAATAGATGGATATTTCGGGTGTCAGCGCATAGTTTGGCCTCAAGAATGAATTCCCAAAAATTGAAATGCCAATGCAAGTATAAACCATGCAAAGGATCCAAGAAAGGGGTGCCAAAATCAAGGAAAGCAAATAGTTTGACCAAGGCGTTCCATTTACCGATTCACTGGCATTTGGTATGAAATTTTGAAAAGAAGTGATGGATAGATAAGCAGGAGAAACTAGAATGATAGAAATATAAATAAGGGCTAGGAGTTGAAGTAAACGAATACCCCATTGACGAGACCTGGACACATCCACAACCACTTCACTAGAGTCAATTTCAGTTTCTGGAGCTTGGGATGAATTGCTCATAACTTCAGGTTGAGACTTCGACAGAAGATTCTCTGAGAAGTTAGCCAATTCTTGAATGTCTGATGCTGTAAAAACATCTATAGCTGCAACTGGCACACCCAGGAAATCTGAGAGTTTTTGAGTTGCTTTAACCACTCCAATTGAATCAATTCCATATGTTGACATGTTGTCGGTGACTGATATATCTTTGATTGGGATTCCTGAATGCTCAGATATTAGCCGTTTCAAGTGTTCAACAATTTCCTGGTTATTGAATCTTGGAATAGGTAGGGGATTACTACTTCTCACCAGCTGGGCCCGGGGTGTTCTTCCTTCTGTGCATGTTCCTGTAGTAAATGACCTTACCAGTGATTTCCTTGTCAGAATAGGTTGAGGCACCAAGTTCAATGTTTCATCTGCAAACTGTTTGAGACATTCAAATCTCTTGATTTTTCCTGATGTTGTTTTGCTGATCGTTCTTGGCTTGATCAACTTGACAGAAGCAACACTGACTCCATGTTCTTCTGCCACACGAGTCTGAATTTGCTCAATCACATCTTTGCTCACGGTTTTACCATCCCTTACTTCAGCAACCACAACCAAGCCAACTTGGTCAGATCCATCTGGCAGAGAAATCCCCTTTGCTGATAATACCTCCTCAGGGACACCAATGACTGCACAACACCCAGGACGAAGAAATTCAGATGAACTCTCAACTGTTTTTTCAACATCTGCTGAGTAGATGTTTCTTCCAGCCACAATGATAAGATCCTTGATTCTCCCCGTGATGAATAGCTTCCCATCAATTATTCTTCCCAAGTCTCCAGTTCTTGTGTAGTTTCGTCCAGGATGGTTCTGAAGCTCATTTCTAAAAGTTTTCTGGCTCAGTTCTTCCTTTCCCCAATATCCTATTCCTGCACTTGGACTACTTAACCAGATTTCTCCTTCCTTTCCATCTTCTTGAAGCTCTTCACCATTCTCTGGATCAACTATTCTAATGTCTATATCTGCATCACCAGGGTGAATATATCCACAACAAACTCTTCCTTGCCAGTCAACAAGAATAGGACACCCTTTTCCAAATGCACAACTGACAAACACACAATTTTCTGCTAAGCCATATCCTGGAGCCATCACTTTCTGAGATAAGCCAAAAGGAGCGGTTAAATCAAGAAATCTTTTCAAGGTCTTCAGTCTCACTGGCTCAGCAGCAACCATGAGAAAAATCATGGATGAAAGGTTTAATTTCTGAAGCTTGTCTTTTTCAAGCCCTAACCTTCGAACCACCAACTCAAAAGCAAAGTTGGGGCCAGCGCTGTGAGTTGCTTGATACTTGCTTATGGTTTCAAGCCATAAGAGTGGTTTCCTAATAAATGTCATTGGTGAGAAAAGCACGGCAGATCCACCACTAATAAGAGCTGTAAAAAGTCCTCCAATCAGCCCCATGTCATGATACTGAGGAAGCCAACTCACTAGCATTGTCCTTGAGGTGCTCTTGTATATAGTTTTCATCAATTTCACATTGTGAATGAGCCCTCCATGTGTTATCATGACTCCTTTAGCATCACCTGTTGAACCTGAGGTAAACTGCAAGAAACATATATCAGCAGGCTTGGATTCACATTGATCATCTACATCTTCCAAAGCCAAATTTCGTGAGTTATTATTGACCCAAGTATCAGTGTGCAGCCAAGGAAGTTTAGGCCACTGAGCTGCGGATTTCCCATTTTTTCCAGTCAGTGAGATCATCAAACTTTTCACTAGACCTGCACGTACTGCTGAGTGATAAGCCACTGTTGATAAAATCGCCACTATGCCACATGACTTGGCAATGTTCTCAATTTTTAGGAGTGCTTGTCCACCTCTTTGCAGGGGGTCCGGGGGAAGAACTGGGACTGGTAAAACTTTAGCTCTTAGACATCCAAAGAAGGCATCAATGAAATCCAGACCAGGAACATAGACTAGGAGAACCCTGTCACCAGGCATTATAACTGGCTTTTGACTTGTTAAGAGCTTATGTGCAATACAAGAAGCATTTAAGTGTTGTTCTCCATATGTCCTCTTGCCACCCACTGTTCCTCCTTCATTTATCCAAGTGTAAAGAGTTCTATTTTGTGTGACTGGATGAGTTCCCCAATGCTTTAAATAGCTATTCAAAGTTGGCAAATTGGGAAATTGCACTCCGGGCAATTCACCTAGTTCTTTAGGCTCCTTTTTCTGGAACTCAGTTTGCAAGGGAAACAAACTCTGCAGAAGACACTTCTAGTAAGTGCAGCTCTACTTGGAAAACATGATTGATCAAAGTATGTAAAGTCTAGATTATTCAAATCAATTACTGGTAAATAAGTGCTAAATTACCTTAGTGTAAGGAAACACTGGCAAATCACTGTTATTTGCGAAGTTCTTGCAGATCAAAGCCATGGCATAAGATGAATTTCTCTCAGTAAGCTCAAATGCCATAAGCCCGCCAACATAATAAGTATTCCTTGAACCTTGAAGCTCTGACTCCAACTTTTCATAGAATCCGTTTCTCATATCTGCACTCAAAACTTCAAAATTTAGAATCCTTGCTTGAAAGGGGAAACTGAATTTTGAAAACTACAAAAAAGAAAAAAATACCTTGGCTACTGACATGAGGAAAATACTTAAAGCGACGTTGAAGAATGAAATTCTCAACTTCTCCCCCCATGGACTTTATTGATTTGATTGCTAGCTCAGTAACAGTTGGTCCCTTAATATCAGCAGAGTTGCCATAGGACCAGAACAAGAATATGTTACTGTCTGCATAAAACTTTTGCATGGCAACTGGATTTCCAATTGTGCTGGGATCTTCCATATATTCTCTAAAATAATAAAATCCAACGGGCATATGTTCCATTCCCTTGATCTTTAAAACAGTTGTGTAGTAATCATTTGTTTCAACTTTGCTGAACAAATCCTTTTCAAGCTCACTTACATCCATTACTTCTGGTTCACACTCTGCCACAATAAAGGATTTAATTTTGAGATACTGTTGCTATAAAGATTTTACAGAGTCAAGTAATTAGAAACTATCTTTGATATAACTTTTAAAGTAATCAATACAAAATTTAACAATGTTTATTATATGTCAATTTATGATTGGATGAAAGTGTAAAAACCTTCTCGCTCTCGATATATTTTAATTAACAGTATTCTAATTAAACTCAACTAAAAAAAAAGTGTAAATATGAAGCAGCCAATTATACATACCTAAGCTAGTTGAAGGCACTGATCTATACGTTCTTCCATATTTTAATGGAAAATTACCCGAGATTATGATCTTATCAAATTCCATAGTTTCAATTTCATTTGAGCTCTTGACATTAACGGTGACACTGTCAGAATTCCTCTTGATTGCCAACACCTCAGTGCTACAGTGAAGTTTTATAGGAAGTGATTCAGCAATCCTTTGCCAAAGACTCGTATATCCACCTTTAAAACGTCGAATTTTTCCAGCCATGGAAGTTCTAGTAAATTCATGAATGTAGGCATAAGGCATGTCTTGAATGAACCCGTATCCTGAAGCAGTGTAACCATAAGCCACAGATTTAGGGACAGATTTAAGTCCATGAAGCTCAAGATAATCTGGAGCTAAGTCCGAAGCAACTTCACTGACAGCATGCACCCCTAAACGACCAGAATTCTTCACCTTTTCCTGTTAGTGGCACAAGTAGAATTAACATCATTAAATTCTCAATTTTTGAGTTCCAGGAACTAAGGATTTTTCTTTATGTGTCTATGAATGAAAAGCAGTAGACTAACTTGGATTGCTAATGTAAGTGACATAACAGATACATAATCATCAGCAACTTTGACATCTTGATATTTTCCTGAGGAACTGTCAATAACAGCAAGCTTGTGGGAGTCCATTTCTTCTAGTGGAGAACCTGTCTCTTTAGCCAAGTGAAAGATGATCGGAGCACTGCTTGCAGCCAGAACTTGGCCACCTAGATCATAAACTCTTCCTGTGTAGAACACATAATTAAAATTCAAGGTCCATTGGATCAGCTAGATAGTGATGTTTAGATATAGGATACCTTCAATTTCTACTGACTCACACATGCCCCCAACTGAATGATGTTTCTCCAAGACAGTGATATTATTATATCCAAGCCTGGCCAGTGCATAAGCAGCTGATAAGCCACTTGGACCGGCACCCACTATTCCAATTTTGGTGTTTACTGGCATGGAAGGATGTAGCTTGGAGAATTGATCCTCCACTGATTTTTCTGGATCCATCTCTGAATTCAAAACCTGCAATAGGTGAAAATTGTAAGATCATTTGACAACTTTGTCCGATGTTTGCATTCAGCTTCACTTGCTTTAGTTTTATCCATATACATACATCATTCTCCAATCCCACAGTACACAGAAATAAATGTAATGATCACTGACAATTTTGAGAAAGTTAAAGAAGATCAATATGAAGAAGCTGTAATTCATTCCAATTGTTCAAGGTTAAATAGTTGAGAGTTGTGGTGATAGATTATAAATGGGATAAAACTGTCCAGATTAATCATCCCGTGATAGAACATAATTGAAACGGCTAAGAAACACAACCAAATGACAAAACAATTTTAACATGATTTGAAATAGAAAACAGTTTTTTTCTTCTAAACAAATTAACCAGGTGTTTTGTTTCCTTACAGGAAGGAAGTTGCCAAATTTAGAAAGACCAGTTTATGATTTTTATCTTCTCTTTGATATTAATAAACTGCAGCAATGTTTTGAGAGAAGTTAACCCACAGATACCGTACAGAGCCACGTTCTTGTCAATCTTGATGAGGACTTCTCAATCAGCTTGGACCATTATTACACGCAGCTCTTGCTGTAACTGCAATGTCATTGTAAACAGAAACGCGCAAACTGGAAGTGAACAACACATGCAAAAACACACATGTAAGTTGTGGGAAAATATTACACAGATTCTCAGACAAAAGATGAGACATGCTGAGATGTTGGTATGATATGGCACGGCCATGATGAGTGAAACCAAAAAAGGTTTTATATAAGCAAGAAATGATTGAAGAGAAGAAAAGTAGTTATTATAGTTACCTGAATGATTGTAGATCACATTAAGTTTTTTCTAGTGCATGATGCCAAATGGCATGTGAAGCAAAAATGAAAACTGTTTCGAGTTGAGTTGTTTACTATATTGATGCTTAAACTGAATTGAGTGAGATCACTGCATTGCAGTATTAATATATAAAAGAAGTAGTCCAAGGGTTCAAAAGTCCAAAGAACTCCTAAGAGTAGCGACAAGTTGATACTGTTCTTCAGTCGGTCTCGATAACTACGAGAGTTTCACTCACATCTTAGCATTGCATTTGGAGATCCAGATATTCCCTTTGTGGAATCCGTCTGAAACTGACAATATCTTAGCTCATCCTTGTGATAGATAATAAATAACCAATGTTGCTAAATCCTAGTCTTTTTTGATGCGTGTTCATCTATAGATACAAGTATGAGAATATAACTCTATCTTCATCTTCAACCCAAATACTAAGCTAAGAGAATATAACTTCATTTTCGAACCAAAACTTATTCAACTTTTTCGTTTCTACTCAACAAGACTCTATCTCACACTTGAGTTCCATCTGTCTAAGATGTTAAATACAATTTTTTAATATCACTATCATGATTAGAACATAAAATAGGATCTGATAAAAGATTGTTCAGAAGATATATAAGAACATTTCTGTTTCAAATAACATCAACAGTTAAACCCGAGGCTCATGCCGTTTTCTGCACAATGAAAGATGATAATTACCTGCGGTTATTCTGTTCTAGATTCGAATAATAGTTCTTATTCATCTGATTATAATTTAAAACGGGATTTTCGAAGCTCACCATGAATAGATTATTTATTTATTTTGTCGTTAATACTTTAGAGTTCAAAACTCAAAGGTAACTTCCATCCATGAATATGGACAATTCTAATCTAATCACAAGTTTCAGATATAAATATATATGTATTGCATTAAACACTTTAAAAGAAACTTATTTCATTTTTCATTAATAGAATTCACATATTCAACGATTAAAACAAGATTGTTTATCATAGAAAAAAAGTGGGGTTACTTCAAAAGTTGTACGTTGTTATTTAATGCATATTTTATTACAAGGTTCACCTGTACGAGTAGCCTCCAAGTTGAATAAAATATTCTTGTTTATCTTAAAACACTCTCTCATACATAAATTAGTGAATGAATAAGTAAAACATCAGATCGTAGAATAAAATATATTGAATGAGAGGGAATAATACGATGAATATAGTTATTTCAGAACGATGAGATATTTATCTTTAATTAAATTATTTGTCTACTAAGTGAGGAAATGACTACTAAAATATTAATTTTTTAGTTATTTTTTCTAATTAATTGTAAAATTTCTTGGAGTGAAGTATCTCAATCTCTTAATATCTCGGAGATATACTAAGAATTTCAATCCTTTTGAATATCTTAGTCTCTAATATTTTGAGATACTTAATGCAAGTGAGTATAATAGGATGCGTATAATTAATTGAGAATGATGAGATATTTATCTTTGTTTGATCGATCATGTCTATAAAAATGATTATAATTATTTCAATCTCTTAATATCTCGGAGATATATTGAGAATTTCAATCCTTTTGAATATCTTGATCTTTAATATTTTGAGATATTGAAAATTTTAATCTTTCTAAATATCTAAGTCTCCAAAATATTTAGAAGATGAGTATATTGAAATATGATTAATTACCTTTCCCTTAATCCATTTGATTCAAGTAGGTCAGTGTCTAGATATCTCGAAAGATGTCGAATAGGTAGAGTTATAATCAATTATTTTGATTAGGTATAGATTGTAAAAAGAAAATGATTAATTTACCTTGATTAACTTATATAATTTTGAAGTTTTTGGTAGTAGATTTGATTAACATGAACTTAGATTTGACACTCTTTAAGATTTTAGCTCGGACTAATTTTATTGAAGAGAGATTCTTAAATTCAGGTATATACTCATCCAAACATTGTTTAAATGTTATGATATGTTTCAACCAAATTATTTTAGTTAATTGGTGGGTATTATTTGTGGTATATTATGTTATAATTAACTAAAGAATTCAAATGTAGGTTGACTAAACTTAAAGAGATTTAAAACGACTATAAATGCATCTTAGTTAATTTTTTTATACCAAAAAATTCCCAGAAAATATGTTTATTTTGCCTTCATAATTCAATACAATAATTAACTTATAATATATTTATTACAGAAGGAGAAGAAAAAACAAACAAAGAATATGCGAGATTTTTTTGTTTTGTTTCAAAATTTTATTTCCAACCTTTGTACATTTTATTTAAAAATGATTTCATTATTCATTAATTTGTCGTTAATGATACATGAGTTTAATAGAGTGTAAATCACTTTCATATTTTCAAACTAATTAATATAAAACTCAGTAAAGTTAGTTATAATTAGACGATGATACGATAAATTGTTTTATATTAATTATTATCAATGTATAATTATTTTTTTATGATACATTTGTTTTTTCTGTTGTGATGTTATAAATTTATTTGATTCTTGTGATTATTCCTAAGCATATTCGTTCGTACATTTAAGAATAAATATTAAATGTGACATTTTATGTCTACCACGATGTCCATTGGAAATTAACATTTTTAAGGCATAGAATATAGTAATACATATTTGTTTGAAAACTAAAAGAAAACATATATATAATAAGTGATATAATGTAATAAAAACTATAAAATATAAATATAAATAATAAATATATTAATAGTTAAAAATAGTTTTTTTTTATGTGAAATGATTTAAATAGTTATTATATTTCTCTTAAATAAATGATGAGGATGATGATTAATGCCGGCCGTTATGGTATGATATCGCTTTGGGATGACTGAAGCATACAATTTGAAATGCATTGACAAATGATTCCTTTTTTCGGAAAATGACATTTCCATAATAAATATAAAATTGTTGCCTCATTCATCCTCAATAAATAATTATTAATTAATTATTTATTTGGTTGAATATAATACCGCACACTAACTGTGATAACCTTTGCCAAAGTATAAGAAGAGTGACATATATTGAATATTGTTATTGGAGGGATAAATAATATATTATTAATAAATAATAAATAAATATAAAAAGAAGAAAAAAGATGAAATGATAAAATTATAGATATATAATTAAATATATTAAATGATTATTAATATAAATTATATGAGAGTTACGGAATTGAGGAGAGACTGAAAGGATAAAATTATAAATATATAAGTAAATATATTAAATGTTCATTAAGTTTGAGAAGCTAAAATAATAAATTACATGAGAATTACAAAACTTTGAGAGAGTTATTGCTGTCATTTCTTACCATGTCTAAAAAAAACTTTGTTTATGGACATCATTTATGTTTGACATTATTTTTTTTTTTTTTACAATTATAACTCAAATTAAAATCTGTGATTTCATGCATGCTACTCAAGTTCTCTGTACCTAACCATTGACATTCAATTGAGAAAGGATCAACGATTTTTTATATTATATTTTCTGAAAGTGGATTATTTTTAGTACTCATTCCACATATCTGTCTATTACATAATTCATTTGATTTATAATCATTGAATTTTGTTAATTAAAATTTTCATTTTTTTACACGCTTTTAATCCATTGTTACCCAATATATATCACACGTTTTTTTTCAAAAAATTAAAAATTAAAATTGTTGTACCCTTAATTAAAGATTTCTTTTTATATTTTGTTTTGTTGGTCTTTTTAAAATATACGTATATTTTTAACAAACCGTATGAGTGATAGATATTTATTTTATGTTTTTTAATTTATTAAAATATCTTTTAATAATAAAATTATCACGAATTAAAATATTAAATCAAATAATACGATAATTTATTAAAATATCTTTTAATAATTTTTTTTTATTATTCCTGATAACACCTTTTAAGATGTAATATTGGTTTGATTTCATTTTTATATTTTTCTATATATTATGCATTTTTTTAAATATATTTAAACACAACGACTCAATCCGGTTAATATGATTAGAGGTTTACACAAGTCAAATTTGGATTAGTTTAGATAAATATATCATCTAATTTTATTAAAATATTTTATTTTGGATTAAATTGAATTATTTATTATTAAATCCAAACAAATTAACCCGATTGATGACATATTAGATTCGGTTCATAGAGTTAAAAACACTAATACTATT